GCAAACTAGTGCCAAGTGAGTGGTAAAGCTGTCGTTCGAGCAATAGGCGGACAAAAAATTTTCGTTGAAAATATGTCACTGACATTCAAGCGAGAGGCTAGTGACAACAAGGAATGCGTCCATTCTTAAAGATCGTTAAGTTTTGGGGCATGTTTATTTACTTACGACCTCTTCACTTCTATAAATAGGATCATTTAGCATAAGATCAAAATCTCTTGTAAAAACTCTTCAAAAATTATTCTATAATTGTTTTTTTGCAGAGAGAAAAAATTTGTTCAAGTTCGTTGTTGCTCGTAGTTGAAGTGTTTCAACCACAAGTTGTATTCGTTGTTTCTTGGAAGATAAGTGTCGTAATCCATTAGAACCATTGCGGGGCAATTGTCTTAAGAAAAAAGTGTTGAAACACTTGTCTTGAATTTCATTTCCTTATCTTTTCGTTTTTATTTTGCATGAAGTTTAATTGCGCTCTTGTGAATTGAATTTAACCATTACTTTCTTAATTAATAAACAACCATTTCCCTACACATCTCATCAACCGATATGTATGTTAAATTATTATTGTTCTATTTTTTCAAGAGAAAGTTTCCTCAAGATGCGAAGGTAGAAATATTCTTCATTCAAGTTAAATGAATATCGAGTATATTATTGTGCAATGTCAATTATTTACGTATGTAGATCATAAATACAAAGAGTTTTTGATGAAAATGGAAAACCTTACCCCCCAACATTTGAAATTTCACGTGCATAAAAACCTTCCCCCCCCCCCCCCCAACATTTGAAATTTCACGTGCATAAGATAAGCAATATGAATAATTGAATATGCAAAGTAAATTCTTACGAGCACTACGAAACATACTCTTAATCATTAGTCAGCATTTCTTTCAACGTCAATGTGCAAATCAAAGTTGTTTTTCAAGATAATTGGGCAATGATTTTCTTCAAATTTATGACATAAATCAATAATGATTTTCTTGGTTTGACTACAATAACTTGAAGACGAAGACTACTTTAAACGGTCCTTTGAATGTAAATTAATCATAAATTTCGTCACATTGAATATCCATACCATTAAAGGAATATAGATCAACAAAAATTTTATTACGAGTCTGGTGCAAGAATTAGTTAAACAAATATATTAAATTTAAATTATCTCTTGACTTTAGTCGAGATTGAGTATTCTGCTAAACTAATTAATGCTATCACATCAATATTGAATTATTCAAGATTATTATTATTATTTTATTTATTTATTTATTATTTTATTTATTTTTTTCAGAAGCAATTCTTGTGCACAGAAGGAAAAATATCAACATCGAAAGTTCAAAAAATATATTGCTTGCTTAGTTGTGCCATCCTTTCTCTCTTTTTTTTTTTCTTTTTTTTTTTTCAAATTTAAGAATTTTTTTATTCTTTGACAAGTGATATTCTCTTGTTTTGAAGTCCATCTCGATAAAATACTCAACTACTAAAACTTAAATTGAAAATTCCAACAAAAACCCCACACACCCCACCCCGTGAATATAGATTTATCTGCCCACAAACTAATCATGATTGATTTGAGATATTTATGATTTTGAGAATTATGTTTTTTATTGAAAATTTTAAAAATATCCATGAAGTTCCTATAAATCTTTAAGGTATGCATTTGTATGAGAAATCTCAAAGTGATTAATTGTCGGTTTCGAACTAAATAAGGCATTATACATCTTGAAACAAGCTCCTCGAGCTTGATTTGATTGTTTAAAGGCTTATTGCATTCCACCAGTTTCGAATAATCTCGATTAAACAATTCTTTGTTCACAAAGTTTATTGAAATATCAACAATAAATATTTGGGGGTAATTGGCACAAAATATCTCTACCTTTTATTTTTTGACATTTTTACCCTTATTTCAAAGTTTTGTTGCGCAAAACACCATTTTCCCTATTTTTGAATGTAAAATGACCATTATACCCTTTTATTTAAAAAAAAACCAAAAAAGAAAAGTAAAGTAAAGCACAAATTGCAATCATACTCCCAAGCGTTTTGAAAAAATATAAATCAGTCCAATAAACATATTTTATTCCCTCTTTAATTAATCTTTAATTATTATTAAACAAATCATATAAATTTGCAAGTCCACAATTGATAAACATTACCAGTCCCATTCATCGCACCTATCTTCAATTTCTCTCTTTCATAAATCTTGAATCCAATCTCATTAACCTTGATAATCCAACACATCTCAACCCCACCCGCCAAAGGAGTATGTAAATCATTCATTAAAATCCCATATTTAGACGGACCCCATAGTTTTTTTGGTATCTTAATCATTATTAATGACATCTCTGTTATTTTCTTCTGTTTCAAAAAGTTTTTGTGTTTTCCTCTGTGGTAGTAGGGTTGAATATCTTAAAACTGCTCGATCTGAAATGTTTTTCTGGGTTTTTTTATTCTATACCTGCAATTTTCTGAGGAAAAAAAGGAAACATGAATGTGGCGAAGTCTTAGGTATGGCAGCCTTGCAAAAAGAAGAGGCTTTATAATCTAGGAAACCTGAAATTATTGAAAAGAAACCTTTTTTATCTAGAGAGAGAGGGAGGGAAAAGAAGCAGGGAGCAAAAAATGGATGAGATTTGTATCGGAAAATCGGCGTAGTCCACGAGAATAACCAGTGTTGATTGAATCGATACACATAGAGATATACAAGGAGAGAGATACAGTTCAACTTTGTTGTTTAAATATGTTTTGAACAGCCTATTTTGACTTCAATTTTCGGCTAAATCGATTGGAGTTAGGGTCTGAGATTGGGTGGGTTTCGAAGGGGGAAGTGAGAGTTTCAAGGTGGTATGTTGGTCCGGCGCCCAAGGTGGCCAGAGGGTGGAGTTTTGGTGGAGGAGGAGGGGAGGAAGAGGGAGAGAAGAGAAGAAAGAGATAATTTTTTTAATTTTTATAATTTATCGGACAGATTTATATTTTTTCAAAACGTTTGGGAGTATGATTGCAATTTATGCTTCACTTTTCTGTTCTTTTTTGGTTTTTTGTTTTAAATAGGAGAGTATAATGGTCATTTTACGTTCAAAAATAGGAAAAATGATGTTTTGCACAACCAAACGTTGAAATAAGGATAAAAATGCCAAAAAATGAAAGATATGAACGTTTTTCACAATCAACATGAAAGGTAAAGACATACGTTTTTGTGCCAATTACCCTAAATATTTGTTTAGGTTGATGATATTATTGTAATAGGTAGTGATCCAGATGAATCATAACTCTTATTTCCTGTTTGTACACAAAGTTTTCTCTTTGAGATTGTAGCAGTTGAACTGCTTTTTGGGCATAAAAGTCAAGCCCGTTTATCATGGCTTTTGAAAAATAAAAATGAGATTTTGAGATTCAAAAATTGCTTTTGGACTCATTTAGCTAATTTTACAAAAGTACATCTTGTAATTATAAGAGATTTTAGAAAAAGTTGGTTCAGTGTGACTTCCTTTAAAAGTACTTTCGCAATAAAAAGTGCTTTTAAAAATTAAATTCCAAATAAAGATTAAAGTAACTTCATCTAAGAACTCTTCTACATGAAATACAAACAAAGTTATAACAAACACGTCCTAAGAGCGGAGGCTTGTTATTGTTTCAAGAGAAATATATTAAAGACCTACTTGCTAGAATAAGAATGACACATGCACGAGAAATATGAACTCCTATGATCTCTAGCTCTCATATGTCATCAATGATTAGTCCCTTCGTAGATCATACACTATAGAAGCACTGTTGGTGCTTTATAATATGTGACAGTGACAATGCTCGAGATCTCTTATAACGTGAATAAAGTTCATCAATTTACGCATAATCGTTTTTAAACACAATGGAAGGCGATGAAGAGGATTTTTGGTGATATCTCAAGAGTACAACTAGCCACGATTTGCTTCTTGATTAACCTAAAGATTTTCACTACAATGATTCTGAATGGGTTGCTAATCTTAATGACGGAAAATCAACCTTGGGTTATTGCTCATATCTGGGAAAATATAGTTGGTGTTCTAATGAGCAATCAATCATTTCTTGATCTACTATCAAAGCTAAGTTTTGAAGCTTCTCAGATGTTGCTTCATAGTTAATATGGACTCGATCATTGTTACAGGACTTGAGAATACTTTCAACAAGAACACAAATTATTTGGTGTGATAATCTGACCATTTTAGGTTCTCTTTTTTGATTGAGATAAGCTAGCTCAAACCATCGACATTTCCTTTTTAAGCTCTGCCTTTATAGATACTACTATAGAACAACCCACTTGTGTTTAGCTCTTTGCTCGAGAAGGTGGACAGATTTAAAAAGAATAAATTTGAGATCAACATCGCGATTTTTAGAAAGACATGAACAACTAGAGTTACGTGAATAACTAAAATCCACATATGGAGCATTAGAAGCAGTCCTGAGATCTACAAATGATGAAATATGTTAAGTGATGTATCTATAAGTTGATACAATCCCTTAAATGGTGTGTGATAGCATGACGCCCTCACCTTCGCAAAAAAATTTAAGGTTACATGAACAATTGAAATCATAGCAACAAACGTGACACTATAGTGGTCATTGATGACATGATGTAACGGTTAAAATGCCCAAAGCAATCATGCACTTTTGAGGTTCACAACTTGAGGTAATTACTTTTAAGGTGGAGCTTAAGATCAATAAATGAAATAATAACATAATTTGATTGATGTATATTATTTTAATGAAGTCAAATGATCTTGATAAATGCTAAAGTGTTTGGTCTCGACCGATTCGATCATACACTTGAGTTTGTCAATATACTCGATGTGGGATTCTAATAGTTTCTTTTTCTTTTATTTTCCATTTTGTCATTCTTTTTATTTATTATTATTTTTATTGATCAATAAAGTACCATATTTTCAGTAACATTTTAATAGAATTTTAGTCCACTAAAACATAAAAACCAGGGTACAAATTTGATGTTTGATAGTAGATAAACATGTTTAAATTGATAATTAGGTTGGTGCTTGTTAGATAGGTTGAAGACAAATATAGCAGTTCTTCATATCAAAATTCACATCCGCCGACTATCTGGCTTTCTGTTGCCGCCGCCGTTCTCTTTTCTCCGCAATGAACTCTCCGCCGGAGTTCAAAGGCCACCCTCCACACTCCACCGCTATCTCTCCACCGTCCACCTCTTTATCCTCTCTCAGCGCTCTTCTCAACCTCGCAGACTCTGCAATTCGCTCCCTCCCAACACCTCTTCCCACCAACGCCGCCTCTTCTTCTCTCCTCCCTTGCCCTTTCAATCCCAACCACCGTATCCCCCCTTCCTCCCTCTTCTCCCATTTCCTACATTGCCCTTCCCCTATATCTCTCCCTCCACTCCACTACCCTCACACTCTTCACTCCTCTACATCTGCCGCCGCCGCCACACCCATAAACCAACTCGATCCCTCCTCTGACCTCTGCTTGTCCCTGGAAAACTTCCTCGATTGTACCAATTTTTTTTACTCTAATTGTCCTGGAGTCGTCACGCTAACTAACAATGAATCTTCAACGTCTGCCATCTCACCTCCAATGCTCACTTTGCCTGGATTTTTAGTGATTGAATGCGGGAATTTCAGTAATAACCCCTCGAAAGAGTTGATGGGTTTTTTGGTAAACTCAATTAGGCTTCTGCCTTCAGAGATATGGGCGATTGAGAATGAAATGGAAGCATGGAGTGATTTTCCAACCGCGTATTCTTATAGAATTTTGCGTTCAATTCTGAGATTGCGTGATGATAAATTGTTGCGACTCCGCAAATGGATTGTTGCAGAATCTCCCAAGTACGGAGTGGTAATTGATTTTGCTATGAGGGATCATCTGGTTGTGCTGGTTAGGCTGTGTTTGAAGGCGATGTTAAGGGAGTCTTTTGGTTTATCTGGTTCTTTATTTCGTGATGAAGAGGCGAAGATGGAAGATCAAGAGGCGGGATTGAACAAAGGCAGTTTTGCCTGCCCGGTTTTGGTGGAAGTACTAATGTGGTTAGCTTCAGTGTTAGGCATATTGTATGGTGAAGTGAATGGCAAGTTTTTTGCCATCAATATTTTAAAGAAATGCGTGTTAGATTCTTCATTGAGTGCTTCATTTTTTCCCTTGGAGCATAGGGATTCTGAATCAAGTGATTTAGAGAAGGTGGATGATGAAATGAAGGAGTCACTGGACAGTAGTGTATCAATTGTTTATAGTGAGGAGAGTGAAAAAAATGGTGATGAACTTGCAACTGTTTGCGGTAGCACAATTTTGGTTTCCCAAGTGGCAGCTGCAGTTGCAGCATTGCATGAGAGGTCAATGTTTGAAGGAAGGATTAGGGCTTTTCGTGCGTCAAGAACGCTGTCCACATACCAACGGTGTAGTTCTTGTTTTTTTCTCGTTAAATTCGTCAATCATTATGGTGCTGTTATGACCATGATATTACTAGTTTTGCTGTTAAATATTATTGGGATAGATGCGTGAAACTTAACTATTTATGATAATTAACTTTTTTATGCTGTCACATTATCCTCAATTGTCATAGATTTTTCATAGTAAGGTTTTCACACTATCTTCATAATGCTGACAGCCTTTGTATTTATCTGCACAATTTTCTGAACTTCATTGAAGATCATATGCTCCTTTTGTTGCTGTTTGTTTCCTATTTGGAGATCTTACTTTCTTTGAGAGACTGGTCTACTGTAACTTTATGAAAACATTTGGGTGGAAGCATCTTACAAGAATCATTGATTTGTAGTAATGTGGAGCATACATATGTGTCCCAAAAAGCTGACGAGGAAAGGAAAAATCGCTTGGACTATAGGCCTATAATTGAACATGATGGGCTGCTTTGGCAGCGGGGGCGCAATCAGGTAAATTTGGATTACTTTACATATTTGTGAGATACTACTGGGATAGTAACATTTCCAATTTTTTGTTATTATTTAACTCGTTAAAAATTTGGTTCCTTTTTTCCTAAATCATGGAGTAATAATATAGAATGCATGAAGCTAAACAGGAAATTGAAGTTGGGGAATGGCAATGTGGATACTAAAGATATCATTGTCTTTTGTCAAATTAGCATTTGAATGCTGGAAAATTTCTCATTTGTTAAAATATGGGAGTTTTCATTTCCAGCCTGGGCGTGGTTATTTTTATTATTATTTTTTAATGATAGTTACAACCCTAATTGCCAATGGTGCTTCTGCTTCCCATTTTGTGGTTATTATTTTCATATATTTTTTTTTATTTTCGTCAATGGCATTTAAGGACCTCCTTAGTGGCTGTTAGAGAATCATGGTACAAAAATGCTTTAGTTTTGCTTTACGCTTTACTCAACTTTTCAACTCTCAAAAGTATTTGGTTTATTTTTATCTATCTATCGGATTTTGTTCATTATTTTTTCCTCATGATTTTATGTCCATCAACGATATTTTAGGATACAAATAAAGTAAAGACAAGGGAGGAGTTATTAGCTGAGGAAAGAGATTACAAACGCCGGAGAATGTCGTATCGTGGCAAGAAATCGAAGCGAAATACTATAGAGGTGAGTACCTATTGATTTCTAGTATTTCACCTGCTTTTATCTTACATTACATCTTGACATGATTTTCGAATTTTATCATTCAATTATAGAATTTGAAACAGCTATCTAAATCTTTCTTTCTTTAACATTCTTGGACTATATTTTCAAAATGAAAAGGTTCATTTGTAATCTTAATGTTCAAGATGCGTTATACAACCGAACAAGTAAGTATTCTTCTTATCATATAGGTAAATTAAGCAAAGATTATAAGCCCTGCCCAAACTTGCTCATAGAGAGTCAAATAGATATCTAAATCCTTGGTGGAAATAGGAAATAAACCCAGAAGCAGCTGGATAAATAGATCTGGAAAGAGCTCAGTAAGCTAATGGAACAAGTCCTCACATATCTGAAGTACGGGTTCTTTAAAAATAACTCCTGTGAACTAACAGTACTGCTAGTAATTTTTATTTTATTTTTTTTTTATTTTAGACTTTCCCACTTGATGGAAGTATAAGAATTGGGAACGAAATATAATTTTCACTCTTCCGGGATATCATAACAGAATAGGAAATGGCAATGAGCTTGCCCACTCTGGTATTCTCATTCTCGTATAATTGTTTTATTGTGCCTATTTGAATAAGTTTTGATAGTTTTACATGCTAATTCTGAATTTAATCAACATTACATTTAAGGTAATGAGAGATATAATAGAGGAATACATGGAGGAAATCAAGTTTTCAGGAGGTATTGGTTGCATAGGCAAGGGAATAGAAGAGGCTGAAGCACTTCCATCTGAAAATTTGTCGGTACTAGACAGTTCTACTTGCATTTCGGATACCTCGAAGAGCTTGCCTGACACGGTTGAAGGAAGTGGAGGTCGATCACATAGTTATAGAAAAGAGTTTCATACTCGTGATGATTCAAAGGACTTTGAGGATGATAATGAGAATCACAGTCATGATCCTAAGAGGCGTTATGGATATCAAGATTTTAATGCTGGTAGTGAGAAGGTCAAACACAATAGAGATGATTATTCCAGAAGCCTGGGTGGAAGGAATAGTGGCAACCATTCACGTGAGCAGAGACACAGTAGAAAGCGAGATTATGTAGAAGTTTCTGGAGAAGGTTCTTCACGACGTTCGGATCGAAGCCATAGCAAATCTCATGATCGAAGTAGTCATAAAAGAGAGAGAGATGAAGATAATTGGGAGCATAGAGACCGACAGAGAAGCAAAACAGACAAGGATCGCAGATCTGATTATAAATCACGAAATGAGTTTGTGGACAGATATGATCCTGCTTATTCTCATGATACTTATGAGGACAATGTCTGATTCTTTGCTGTTGTTTTGATCAATAGGATTTGATAGATTCGAGCAGATGATGACAATTTCATTTATGGTATGGTGTAACAGGGGTTTCATTACACAGTATAAATTTCTGAATCTTTCTCTATCTACGGTAAGATGTCTTGTTTGCGTTTATTCATCTAACTTTTGGCTGAGTAGAAAGTACATCTTTTAATATGTCTTGGATTCCTGGTTTTGTTTGTTCATCAAATGCTGCAGAGAGAAGTCAATCGGCTCTTTACAGTTTGTCTACACCTGTATCCTTCTCTGTATCCTCGGGAAATTTTTCTATATATTGATCATGCTTTAATTTTGAATGATGTATATGCTCTTCTTTTCTAAGTTTAAATACTATACACAGTTTTCTATGTTAACTAACATTTTCGAATGTTAACGCTTGTTTAACTAGCACTCTTAAACCTGAAAGCAGCACCAGAATAGGAATATTTTTTTTTTCAACAATCAGAATTTAGATATTTAGACTCAATTGTCTTTGCTTTTGACATCACACCAGTATTTTTATATTCATTTGCTTTTGACACAAACTATTTATAATTGGTTATGTCCCTGTTTTGGTTAATTATGTCAATTCATTTTCAGTGATTTAGAAGTGTTTAATACTCGTCCGACCTTTTTGCAGAAAATTTAGAAGTAGTCGAGTTGATGAAATGGACAATGTAAATGGTGTTTTGACCATATAATGTGCGAAAAAATCCATATTATTTACTAAGTGGTTGTTTGATAAAACATTGCAAAAATAGGTGATCAAACTTCAATTTTTTGACCATGTATTTCATGGACCAACAACTTTTATTAACTCTTAATTTTTCAACCATACATTTTATCAATTTTTATCAAAATCTGCTCAAACTTTTATCAAAAGCTTTGTCAAACAACCCCTAATATTTGTAATGATGATTGATGGTACAGTGCGACCTGTTTTGATTTGTGATTTTTTATGATCTGGTGTATAAACATTCTTCATTATAATTTAATATGTAGTTTTCTTGTAGACTAGAAATTATGGATAAACGATGATATTCCATTTAAATATGTTTGATGAATGATATTTTACAGTTCCTCATGTAAAAATGTCTATTTTTTATTTTTATTTATCTTTCTTTTAATGAGTGTCTTGTAAGATATCCTTGAATAAATTTCCGGCCTTGGTTCTTCCTTAGAAACCAATTGAGAAGAGAATCCAGTCTTCTTGGACCTTAATGCCTCAACTGGTTGCAAAAACACGAGGATATAGAGTTGAACCTTGATACTATCTTATAGTAGTAAAAAAATATGTATTTTATTATGCACTTGTGCAATTTTAGCTCATACATGGTATGTGAGGTGGTGTACTTCAAACTGCAATTCTCGACCATGTTCACTGCTAAATGCTAATGTTATAACTTTTTTGGTCCAGCCTAAAATTTGATTGTAGGGATCATTTGTAGAAACAATTAATTTGAGCATAAATTGAAAAGTCTGTTTTATGGGATTATTTGACAAGTGAGAGTATGCAGTGGTAGTGTTGTCATTATTAGCCTTCATTTCTAGCAAAAGGAATGTCTATTTGTTCGTATAGATTAAGATGCTGGTATGATATTTCCCTCCTTTTAGATGTTAAGTGGATGCTTCCTTCTTTGTTATTCCTGTCAAGCTACTTGGTAATTCCTGTACCAAAGTTCATTCATTTAATTTGTTCTCTCTCTCTCTCTCTCTTTCTCTCTCTCTATTATTATATATATATATATATATATATGTATATATATATATATATATATATATTTTTTTTTTAATATACAAATGCATTTTTAGAAATGATTATAGTTCTTAGTTTTGATGTTCTTGTAGTATCTTACCTTGAGTCTTGTCCTGAGCCTGATTTTCGGAATTATACCTATCCTCAGAAGCAGTTCTTACCTCATTCTTTTAGAATATCTTCCCCCTCCCATTGTTGGCTTTCTTTTGTTTCTTTACATAGTGTTGTATGTTCTTGCAGTTCCGTTACACAATCCTGCAGCCATTTGAATTTGCTGGACGTATGGGAAGTATTGTTGGAGAATATAAGTTTACTTGCGGGCATTCGTAGATAATTATTTTTCTTTTTTAATTTTTTAAGGTTGCAGTAGTGATTTATGGGAATGTTTTGTTCTAATATTGCAGATTTGGATGGTTTTGTTTCGTCTGAGGATTGAATCGATCTTAGTCGATTTCTGATAATTCATGTTTTCTTATTGTTCATTTTAGTTGTACAGTTCTGAGGATATCTACCCAAGCTGTAAAATATGAAACACAATATAATGTCATAAATTCCGAATGAAGGGCAGTCTTCAATTTTATTTGTCATCCAAAGATTATGGTCAATTCTTAGGTCCATAGTCTAATAATTGTTGTCTGAGTGACCAAATTTATTTTGTTTGGATCTATACGTGTCGCATGCCTGTGCAAACGAGCAACGAGAAAGGCCCCATTACCGTGTCACCATCGTTGTAATTGATCTACAAACGTTAAAATCGTAAGTGATTTTTAGCCGTTGCATATGTGAGCAATCCTCGGAATTTTCTCGGTCATCACTTACTATATTTGTGACATATGTGCGTAGGAACTCTCATGTTAGCTCTCATGTTCATGTTTAACAACATACAAGATTTTAAGTATGATATCACGATAATACTTGCATTGATGAAAATAGCACACAATTGATATACAAGCACGCGTAAGTATGTTGAAACAAAGGCACAATAATTATTGAGCGAGAATGTAAATCTCTTTTTATGAAAAATATTATTTTTATATTCTAACACAACTTTGATCATTCTCAAAAAAATTGCTCAAAATTTTTTAATTTTTTCCCTCTAAAATATCGAGTGAAATTGGCAATCTTGCTACGTGACAAGTAACAAACGCAAGTCGAACAGGTCAATATTTGACGTTTCGAGTCTCGTTTGTTACCTTTTACAAGTTTAAGGACTCTTCTGCAATTTCTCTCCAACTTAAATATTTGAAGTTCCCCCCAGGCCCCAACTTTCCGATTAAGAAGAGAGAACCTAAAAACCTGTCCATTCAAATCTCCCCATTTTTCTCCGAAGTACAATGAGAAATTTCTTCACTCAAAAATGCTTCAACCATAAACATGACTTCTTGCTTCTTCTCCAAATGATTCCTTTTCCACAACTTTTCAGTAGAGATTTTTGCCATTATCTTAAGGGTCCTTCATTTTCTTGGAGGACCCGACCCAACCCTCCCCCCTTTCCTACAGATGCGTTTTTTCCCTTAAAACTCTTAATATTATTATACATTTTTCCCTGATCAAGCCCAACATACATTTTCTTTTCTGATGATATTTGTCGATTTACTATCTTACCTCTGTTAAATGAATTTTGTTGTTAAATTCGTAAGAAGCCAGGAGAATTTTTGCAAGATTTTCACAGCCCTCTATTATTTGTAGGATTTATTTTTGTTTTTCGAGAATTCTGAGGTTTGAAAGTCACGGAAAACAAGGACATTTTTCTCAAGTTTTATTTGTCGGGCAACCAATCTGTTTTATTTTATTGAGAGTTGATTTGGGAGGGTGAAGAAATGAGTTGCTTCCCATGTTTTAGGAAAGCAAGTTACGAGGAGGAAGATTTTCCGATTGCTCAGGCCAAAGATATCACTACACCACCTCCTCCTGGTATGCCTTATCAAACAAATTTTCATAAAATATTTTCAGATTTATTTGTGGTAGCGAATCTAATCCCCACGAATACCTCAGTTTCGTTCTTTGGAAGATTTTCGGAACCCTTTATGGCTTGTTTTATGAGCCTGTTTGGAGTGATTTAGGAGAAAGTAGGTCTACCTATGAAAAAAGAAGTGACGATTGGAATAGTGAAATAAAGGTCAGAAAATTAATTTTTTGGGTGTTAAAATCGCTCCCAAACAGGCCGTATATAAGGATTGGGAAAAGAAGTTCACCGTTTCTTGTAATTGTGTCTGGTAAAAGGACTATAAAAGGAATTTTATCCTGCGTACCAAACGCGACCCTGTGGTCAATAAAATGTTCAACAATATGCTCGAAATGATCTTTTAGAGCATTGTATGGGGATAAGACTGAACATAAAATTGGAAAATTTCGAAACATTATCGAACACTGGAGAGACTGCTGTACTACTTGATGCAGTCGCCACGATTTTCGGTGTAGTGGTAGTTTTCTCTTGTAGAAAGTTTTCCACATTTAACATTACAAAGACTAAACAAAAATTAAGAATATTTAACTTATTGGCGCTTCAGTTTATTGGATTCTTGAGAGACTTCTGAATTCCATCAACTTGCACACTTAAGGAAGCTGATTGAATGTACAACAGATCACTTTGATTGTGATCAAGTTTATATGCTAAAGCACTTTGAATTTTAATTTTTCAAAGTAATTTTTGCGTAACATGTTTGAGGATTTTTAAAAGTTTCATTTTCAGTGCAAAATATTACTTCCTTTTCTTGTTCATCTTCTTATTTGAAACAAACATTTGATGTAACTTTTTACTGCAGTAGTTGAATGATTAAATTTGGTGACAACGTAGTAATGCTCTTGAGTTTGCTTATGAAACAACTTGCGAGCATGTTTATGAATATTAAATATAGTTATCTCGTGAATTTGTGGCCTTTCCATTCCTTTTTCGTACTTTCATTTTTCTCAATTGTTAATTAATATGCATTCTCATTGGTTTGATTCCTATCTCTTGTCTATTCCTTGTACAAGATTGTTGACTTGTTAAATAACTATGTTTTGGGGATCAAATCACTTGATTGGGCGAAAAGACAAAAATATTTTTAAAAATTCACTGTAGCTTCATACTATTGTGCTTTCTTCTTTGCCCAGCAAATAGCAAGCAAGCTCCAGTAGCTGAAGCCATAAACATTGATGCTAATGCAAAAGGAAATTTGTCGGCAAAGACTTTCACTTTCCGTGAACTTGCCTCTGCAACAAAGAATTTTCGCCAAGAATGTGTATTGGGTGAAGGCGGATTTGGAAGAGTGTTTAAGGGGACACTTCAGTCAAGTGGGCAGGTAATGTAGACTACAACTTTGAGCATGATTGGCTAAGAGTAAATAGTTTGCTTATAAGTAAACAAGTTCTAGAATATATATATATATATATAAAAAAAAAAAAATGATAAACAGGAAACAATCTGGTCTGATTACCATTAGTTTGTATGTGCATCTTATTGTGCCGCATCTATTTTAATAGGTTGTTGCTGTTCGGCAACTAGACAGGAGTGGTACACAAGAGAGCAAGGAGTTTTTGGTTGAGGTTATGATGTTGAGTCTTCTTCACCACCCAAATCTGGTCGATCTCGTTGGATATTGTGCTGATGGAGATCAGAGGCTTTTGGTATATGAATACATGACATCAGGTTCTCTGGAAGAGCATCTATTTGGTAATTTTTTGTACATTGCTTCTTTTTAATTGTTTCATGAGTGTCTGTTGATTAATAAAGCACGGACACACTTATTGGGATGCCTTGTCCATGACCGACACATATTAGGCTGCACAACAAGTGGTGTGCCTATTATATACTTAAAAAATTTAACACTAGAGGGACACTTCCTAGTCACGCCTGGAAATTTTTAATTATTAAAACATTTGTATCCCTTATGTGACCATATCCTACCTTTTCCAAAAATTAGGTGTCATGTCCCATGCCCATGCTTAATAGCCTTTTGTAACTACTCGTTTAATGATCATAAATTTATTTCTTCTATCACGGGGCTAAAGTTGATAACTAGTCTTTTACGTGGACTGAAAAAGATTTTGTATTATATTTGCAGGCCCTTCAACGGATAAAAAACCTTTAGATTGGTCAAAGAGAATGAAAATTGCTTTAGGTGTTGCTGAAGGACTTGAGTATTTACACGAGAAGGCCAATCCCGCTATCATATATCGCAACTTAAAATCCTCAAATATCTTGTTGGATCAAAATTTTATCCCTAGACTCTCGAATTACGGGCTTGCCAAGCTTGTCCAAAGCGGGAATAAGATGATGGGAGGTCATGGTTATTGTGCACCCGAATACGAAAGAAATGGTGAATTGACTTTTAAGTCGGATGTATATAGTTTTGGAGTTATATTACTAGAGCTTATCACGGGACGCAGAACCTTGGACACGGCACGCCCCATAGAGGAGCAGAATTTAGTTACTTGGGTAAGTATGTTAGCTCATGATTTCCGCTTTTACTTTGATGCAGTGCATGTTTGACCAAGTTAAAAAAAAAAAAAAAAAAAAAAAAAGGTTGCTCAAGTAAGTTTAATTATAAGCAAATAAGTTACTTACCTTGAAAGTAAACCCTATATCACTGTCAGAATAACTTTAAGTTACTTTTAAACTTAGCTTTAGATGGTGGTAGTGTTTGGTTGTGAAGGAATTGAGTCTAGAAATTGTTAAAATTATGTCGTCAACTCAAATCTGAAAATAGATTTATCAGTTGCTACAAAGAAGTTTGATTCCAAACAACCAAAAGCAATGTAAATTTCTTGCCATACATGATAATATTAAGCCCTCGTTTGGCCCCATTCTTTCCAAATTTTAATAGTTGGAGTAGTTTTTTTTGAAAAATGTGTGGTTGAAAAAGAATTAAAAGTTTTTGATTTGCGTGTAATATTATTTTATGGAAGATTGTGTGGTTGAAAATAAGAGAGAAAAAGAATAAGGAGAATGGGGGCCAAACGGGGGCTAAGAAAGAAAAAGAAGTTAAAATATTGTTCTTTATCCCGTTGAGTGTGTGAAGTCTCTAAATTGACCGATTTATCTACCTGTTTAAGCATTGTTCATACCATTGAACAGGCACAGCCCATTTTCCGGGATCCGTCGAGGTTTCCCGAAATGGCAGATCCAGTTCTTAAAAGGGAATTTCTGGTGACAAGCTTAAATCAAGCTGTGGGAGTTGCAGCCATGTGTCTTCAGGACGAACCAACGGTCCGCCCATTGATCAGTGATGTTGTAGCTGCTCTTAGTTTCCTTGCTGTGGCTCCACCTGATGCACTGGTACCTGCACGACTCGTTCCTCTCTTGTCTTCCCGGGTGGATACGTTGAGTCATAATAGAGATAATCCACATCATGAGGACAGTGACATTTCTGTTCCTGAAGAACAAGCTAGTTCAGAAAGCGAAGATGATGAGAAGAAAAAAGACGAAGGAAATAAGTCTCAAAATAAAAAGAACTTGAAAAAGCAGGGTTCGAGCTCAAGTAGCAGCAGCTCCAGTAGTATTGGATCGGAAAGTGATAGTCAGTGCTTCAGCTTGAGGCACGACAATATTCTCGAACCTGATGATTATGCTGATGGTTCGAACAGTGACCACAAATCCTCTAGACACAAGTTGCACGAGGATGTCCGCGTTGGAAGAGTGAGATCCAAGGATTATGATTCATGTTCAGATGATGAAGAAGAAGAAGAAACCATGATGATGAATAGCATGAGAGCTGTGGATGGTAGTGATACTGTATATTCAAGGCACAATGGCAATTTGTATTCTTAATATGGAGACGAAGGTCCATGTTAACAATGACAGACGATTTCTTGTTAAATTGGGCATTTTATGCAGTTGTGTTGTTTAGATTTGAACACTTTCTTGTAAATTTTAGATTTTGTATTACTGCTTCGAAATCTTTGAGTAAATATATACACAAACATAACATGAAACTTAACATAAATCCATATGCTTCCCAGGACCAAAAGCGACATTACCTTTGAAGTCTTTGTACAATTGCACGATTTTGATCAAGAGAGCAAGATTGTCGACTCGAGTTGCTTGTTTGGCAAGGTGGATTAACCAAGAAAAAAAATAAAAAAAATTATGATTTTATTTCAGATTATTATTTTTGAAAGGACAGCATCTCCTTCGGGTTTTGATCGAGAAGAAACAAGATTGTCAACTTGTGTGGCCTGTTTGGTAAGACAAATTCACAATATTAAGAAAACGAAAAGGAAAGCTAAGTCGTCATTTTTTTTTTTTTTTTTGAATTGACATGATGATAATACTCTTATCGTTCTGTGTTCGCTTTTACCTGATAAAGGGGACCATGTGATCAAAAAAATAAGTAGATAAAATTGTTTTATCCATTTAAAAAATTCACGTTCTTAAACCCTATTTGACAATCATAATATTTGGGAAAAACAATGTTTTAAATAGTAATTATTATGAGAATATATGGTTGAAAAGTATGGAAAAATTTTGAATTTAAGTACATAATATTTTATTGTTTGAATATGGTTGAAAATGAATTAATAAAAAAAAGTTTGAAAATAATGATTGTTGTAAATAAAAAATTCAGTATGTGAAAACGGTAAAGTGCCACGAATTCGTGAAAACGTTTAGGTTCATGCTAATAAAAAGTACTAAACTTAATGCTTACAGTATTACCTTTTTCAGTACAGAGTTTGCTTCTGGGGTGGTACTCTGCTCTGGCACTACAAATCTTATCACCTCTCTCACTGTAACAATGGCTGCCAGCCTTCCATTCCTTCATTTTTCAGCCCCAGTTCTCCAAACCAAAGTGCATAGAAAAAGATTCAAACCCACATTTAATCCGAAATTAAATGGTACAATTCATATAGCAATACGTACAACAATTTATATCAGTTTGTTTATTGATTTTGTTTTAATTGTTCTTTTTTGTTGGGATTATTTGTCCAGGGAGTTGTGCGATAAGCTGCTCGTATTCAAGCAATGGGAGAGAGCCTGACAGTGGTGAGAAGGACGGCGTAAAAAGCGTTGAGAGGCTTCTGGAAGAGAAGCGCCGAGCTGAATTGTCGGATCGTATTGCCTCCGGTGAATTCACCGTCGAAAAATCCAGGTACCCCGGTCCTTTATCATTGGAAAATTGAGCAAGAACAGAGGAAAATAATTGAAATTTTCACGCTTTAGAAATCTTCGAAGGCTAGTAATGATCAGGGTGTTACAATTATGTTCACAAGTTGCAGCCTATAAATTTAATTAAAACTCCATTTTATTCTGGGACGAGTTTGTGCCTAGGAGATAATTTGTTCTTTGTTTATGACTCCTTGTTATTGAATACTCATTGTATTATTTGTCTGTGGGTTATGCTACAAAAACACAAGGGATTACCGAATGGTTTACCGAATTGACAAGTGGCGGCTCCCTATTGGAGGGGCGGGGGGCCGCCATTTGTCAATTCCGCAAACCATTAGGTAAACTATTTGGTACAAATAGGTTTATCCTTTGTTTTAACTATTGGTAGATATAAATGAATATAACTTGGAATGTGATGAAGAATATCAAAGAATTATCAGTATTCCAGAGTGTAGTTTATATTTTTGCAATATTATTTTCAAATATTTTATGTCATTGAATGTGAGATATTTCTTTGACATTTAACTTTGGAAATTATTCAAGCGTGACATTTTCGTATTTCGGGGTTGCAAATCCTGTCTTAAATATAATCAAGATAATAGTTAACATTAATCAGATTGGTGAATAGGTATGTTTCGATCTTTAAAATTAGATAGTATCCTTACACCGTCCTTTCTGTAATCACTAATGCAATATGATCTGAAGTTCTTTTTAAATTGACTGTAAACAATATAATGAATTTAATTTTATTTATTTATTATTATTATTAATAATTTTGTGTGTGTGGTTATTTGCATGTGTGTTTTGTGGAATAGCTTTCCCGGACAATTCAGAAATGGTTTGTCAAAATTGGGCGTGCCTGACGAGGTTCTTGGATTCTTGTTCAAATGGATGGTTGGCCCTGAGGATTATCCAAGGATTCCAGAGGCAAAAGGTTCAATTGGTGCAATTAGAAGTGAAGCCTTCTTTATTCCCCTGTACAGGCTTTACCTGACTTATGGTGGAATCTTTAGACTAATATTTGGTCCCAAGGTTTGTTTTCTTCTTCTATTTTGCCTTTTCACTCTTTCTGGCAAACTTGTTTCAGTAATCAGGTTTGAGTTGTGCTGCAGTCCTTGTTGATAGTTTCAGATCCTTTAATTGCCAAACATATATTAAAAGACAATTCAAAAGCCTATTCGAAGGTAAAGCTACTGGACTAGCTCTCTCGTCTTTTTTCTTATTATTCAGTAGTATTGCTTGTTGATTTTGTATGTTCACTCATGGTATTATAGTTAACTTATTCAAACTGTGCACCAGGGTATTTTAGCTGAGATTTTGGATTTTGTAATGGGGAAGGGACTTATACCTGCCGATGGGGAAATATGGCGTGTTAGGCGACGGGCTATTGTCCCGGCATTGCATCAGAAGGTATTATCAAGATGGCTGCAATTCTTTTTGGATGTTACCCACTTATTCGTTACTTCTTTTTGAAATCGAACAATAAATCTATCAGTAGAGGGAAAGCCGAAGTTAAAGTTTTTCATTGTTTTTCATGTTTGGCATCCTTCTTATTCTGCCATTGATATCATTCCAAAATTGGCCATTGTAGTTTGTTGGTAAAATGATTAGCCTGTTTGGAGAAGCAACAGATAGGCTGTGCAAAAAGCTTGACGTTGCTGCATCGGACGGTGAGGATGTGGAGATGGAGTCCCTTTTCTCCCGTTTGACATTGGATATCATTGGAAAAGCTGTATTCAATTATGATTTTGATTCTTTAAAAGTTGATACTGGAATAGTCGAGGTACTAGCTTTTTCTTTATGTTTCTTTGAGTTATTAAAACGAATTGCCTCTCTTCATCCATCATTCCCGTGAATTTTAAACAAGCTCTAATTCATGCTGTTTTATATGTCTTATTATATTTTGACAAGAGCAGGCTGTATACACTGTCTTACGAGAAGCAGAAGACCGGAGTGTTGCGCCAATTCCATTTTGGGAAATTCCTATATGGAAAGATATTTCACCAAAGCTAAAAAAGGTTAATGCAGCTCTGAAACTGATCAATGAGACACTCAATAATCTGATTGCAATATGCAAGGTAAAGTTTGTTATATATGACTGTGTAACTGAATAAGCGTGTTTCCCTCCTGATAAGTAACTTTTACGGAAGCATCGACCCCATTGGGTATAATCATCCTTTTTTTTTCCCAATTCTTGTAATTTTTTATATGATGGGCTCCTTTCTTTATACAATTGTTCAACTTCTATTCACCTAAACTGCATTCTTATTCACCTGCAGAGGATGGTAGATGAAGAAGAGTTGCAGTTTCATGAGGAATACATGAATGAACAAGATCCTAGTATTCTTCATTTCCTGTTAGCATCCGGGGACGATGTATGGATTGGTCACGTCTTGTGATGTATCTGTTGCCAAATAAATTTACTGGAAAGGTCCTTATGCTCTAATTTTTAGGTCTCGAGCAAACAACTCCGTGATGATCTTATGACAATGCTTATAGCTGGGCATGAAACCTCTGCTGCAGTGCTGACATGGACATTTTATCTTCTTTCCAAGGTATTGAACTGCTCATTGAAGTTACATTAAGATAATTTAAATGTATGTATATGTGTTGATTCAGTGATTACAATTGTTGAAGAATAAGAAAATATTCAACTAAAACTAGAATTCATGTTCATAGCTTTGTTCATCTATCCATCCATCCGCCCACAGAATATTAAGTATACCTTGTTTCAAAATTGAATTAAGTTTATTTCTCTCTTTGATCTTGAATTTCAGGAACCTAGTGTCATGGCCAAGCTTCAAAATGAGGTAATTTTCTTATTTGTCAGCGGGATCTTATTGATAAATTAGCTCTTATTGTGATCTGTAAATTAAGTTGTTACCTTATTTCTTAGAACTTCTGCATTAGGTTGATTCAGTTCTTGGTGATCGATTTCCGACCATTGATGACATGAAGAAGCTCAAATATACAACTCGTGTAATTAATGAAGTGAGAATTTCCTTAACCTCTAAATACAATTTACTATTATCGCTGCAGTTCTAATATCTTTGTGTTTTAACTTTTTCTTGACTTTTCCCTACCACTTTACAGTCCTTGAGACTCTATCCACAGCCACCGATTCTTATACGACGTTCTCTTGAGGAAGACACTCTTGGGAAGTACCGAATTAAAAGGTTAACCCAAAACTAGTATTGGAAACAGATGCTTTCTATCTTGTGCATTTACATGCGCGTTGTGTTCGTCTATAAGTATTACAAAATTGTGCCTCTGCACATACATACATACATACAAAAATGCCAATTAAGTAATGCTTATATTCAGTCGGAGAATGATACTGGCGAGAAGTTCGATGATATTAAACCAGTCTAAAGTATGGAAACATCTGATTCCACTAAGGAGAATGAGCCATATGCTCGTGGTGGCAAGTGATAAAATGAGCGATTAATAAAATTATCATGACTGCTCTGTACTGTGGAATAATAATCTATTTCCTTTTCACTTTTTTATAAACCTTCAAATTTAGTAAGATAAATCTTCTCATGCTTGAAAATTTTGTTTTGGCAGGGGTGAAGATATTTTCATCTCTGTCTGGAATCTGCATCGCTGCCCCAGCCATTGGGAAGATGCTGACAAATTCAATCCTGAAAGATGGGCTTTAGATGGACCAAATCCAAATGAGTCGAACCAAAATTTCAGGTCTGATTTTCTTGACTACCTCATATTATTTTGAAACCAGTTTTGATTTCGTATTAATACTTTTTTTGCCCTTCTCGCTGTAGAAGAATTGAAAAACTTTGTTTCTCAACTTTGGAGTTGAGATATTACTGACAAGACCAAGAATATCGACAGCATGCCGGACCCTCGAAAGTTGAATGAATAGATAACAAATGTTACACGACACACAATATTCACCATTCAAGTTATGAATTCTATCTTGAATTTACTTCTACCAAGATATAAATGTCAATTTTAGCAGACGATGCAAATAAGAATGCACTTGTTTCAGCAAATTTATTATGAAGGAGGAGTAAGCAAATAGAATGGTAACTTTTTTTTATCAGGAACCACTTTTCCACCTCCACAAGCACCTGCTGGATTGCTTTTTGAGCAGCCATCTGATGATCTGAATTAAGTATCAGGAACAATATAGAGGCATAATTCACTTGATCCTTTGAAATTTTCATTTTCTTCTTAAATCCAGATAAAAATTGCATAAAATAAAATCCACTTGTAGGCAAGAAATTTGGAAAAGCCAAGCATACAAGATCCTGGAAACCATGAAGTACTTGGCTTACAACTTGTGTAGCTGGCCCAAAGAAAGAGAAAATTTAATAATATTTCTTGCAATCAACTTTTATTATCCCATTTTTTACCAGTTTAATTATGGCATGGTACTAATTACTATAATTGAAGTATCTAGTATCTTCGATCCTATGCTTCTTCGGATCATGGGGTTTAGTATAGTGTAAATAAACCTTTTCTTGAACTGAGTAATTTTGGGGTTAATCATGACAGAATAAGTATCTAAAAATGTTGTCACTGTTATATTATGCTCATAGTCTTGGCATATACAGAGATGAACAATTTTCCTTTTGCCGATATTATATTGAGAATATGGAATCTTTAGTGGTTCAAGGAGGATGGAAGACAAAAAAGAAAGGATGAAGAATACTGTGGGGTTGATACTTGCTACAACGAAAGTGAATGCGATTGAAGTTGGACTTATACCTTCAAATTTGGTCCTTCAAAAAATTCAGGATTTCAGTAAGATGGTTGATGTGTCATGCGATGGATGTGAAAGCAGACTTCTGCAATTATTTGAGGAATTGGAAGGCAGTAGGGGACAGGGGATGAATGTACAAGGGGCTAAATTAAGAAGGGGAGATCGCAAATTTAAGCAGCTCGAATGGTCAGTAAATTACGATGTCAAGGGTGTTGAGTCAAAGAAATGATTGCTTGGGAGGGATGACAGAGCGTCTAGATGATCCCAAAAATAATCAGTTAGAACGTGAAGGGGCTTAATGAAGCGGGAAAAAGATTAGGTATCCGAAATTTGTTGAGGGGATGGAGGGCAGACCTTGTTTGCTTACAAGAAACGAAGTTGGAGTTCATCTCGAGGGCGATTGTTAGGAGTTTATGGGGGGGACAACATATCGGGTATCAATATATGGGGTCATCAGGGGCTTCTGGAGGTGTGTTAGTCATGTGGGACACTAGAGTTCTTGAAATGGAGGAGGTCAGTGAAGGACTATTCTCTTTATCGCTTTTGTTCAGAATTACATGGGATGGATTCCGTTGGATGTTTACAGGAGTTTACGGTCCTAATGTTGATGAGAGTAGAAGTGGATTGTGGGATGAGTTGGCCGGGATGATGGCTTGGTGGAACATTCTAACGTGCATTGGGGGTGATTTTAATGTGGTTCGATTTCCTACAGAGAGGTCTAGCGGCGGGAGATTAACAGGGGCAATGGAGGATTTTTTAGATTTTATTAGGGAAAATATGTTGATTGACATGCCTTTGATTGGAGGAGACTTTACATGGTCATCTAATCGGGATAAATCTGTGTTATCTCGAATAGATCGCTTCTTGATTAGTGGGGAGTGGGAGGTCAAATATCCAGAGGTCACTCAGAGGAGATTGGAGATTGGGGAGGATGTATTCTGATCATTTCCCTATTTTGTTATCGGGAGATGTGAGGTGTAGTGGAAGAAGACGTTTTAGATTTGAGAAGATGTGGCTTAAAGTAGATGGCTTTAGGGAACGAGTGCGGGATTGTTGGGCATCTTATGAATTCGGGGGGGGGGGTCTCCTAGTTATGTGTTGTATAAAAAATTAAAAGCACTGAAGAGGGATCTAAAGAGGTGGAATGAGGAGGTGGTAGGTGATGTTAATTGGCGTAAAAATCAATGTATCCTAGAAATTGAAGAACTGGATAAGCGCGAGGAGAGTCGAGGATTGGATTAGGGAGGAGAGGGGGAGACGTGAAGTACTAAGGAGAGAGTTGGAGAGACTGGTGGAGATGGAGAAGATTGCCTGACACTAGAAATCTAGGGTTACATGGTTGAAAGAAGGGGACAAATGCACCAAATTCTTTCATAGAGTCGCTAATTCTAACAGGCGAAACAACTCTATCACCCTGTTGGAGGTTGGTGGGATTACTTATGAGGATGCACATGATATTGGAAATCAGGCGGCCGTTTGAGCTCCATTCTAGCTCATTAAAATGAGTTCTCAACCGTACATTAATTGTTAAAAAATTACAAAGTACACAATGTGTTGTCAAGTCGTAAATTCTTATAGAAAGCGTAAAAATTCAAAATGTCAAAAATATCCTCATTCTTTAAAACCAATTTCCAAAATTAACCTTCCTATTCCTTCACTTTTAATAAATTTTCCACTATTTTATTTGAAGGGTAAACTGGGAATGTATATTCTTGCTCCTGCAAATTTCCCCAAAAGTCAAACATGGATTTGTTGAACTCATAATTTCCAACAACTCTATCCTGATGGTCCCCACTGATGCAATGAATGAGAATGGCCAAAAATGGAGCTCAAATGGTCTCCAGATGGTGAGGTTCTATCAAAATCTCTATCGGGAAGAGTTTGACTGGAGACCAAAGGTGGATGGACTGTACTTTTCTACTTCACGGAGGAGGATGCTAGTTGGTTAGAGAGACCATTTGCAGAAGATGAAATCAAGGATGTGGTTTTCAGTATGAATGAAGATAAAGCACCAGGACCAGATGGCTTCTCGTTCACATTTTATAAGGCTTGTTGGGAGGTGGTGGGACCGGACATTATAGATGTTCTTACTTATTTTTTTGAGTACGGCAGGTTCCTGAGAAGTTCTAATGTCACATTTATTGTGCTGATTACAAAGAAATCAGGAGCAGTTGACATTAAGGATTTTTGCCCTATTAGCTTAGTTAGTGGGATGTAAAAGATTATTGCGAAGATTTTGGCGAATAGATTGTGGTGGCTAAGAGTTAGAATGCTTTTGTGAAAGGAAGACATATTTTGGATTCTGTGCTTATAGCGAATGAATGCGTTGACTCTAGATTGCATCTAGGGTTGCTAGGAATGTTGTGTAAACTCGATATTCAGAAGGCTTATGATCATGTGAACTGGAGGTTCCTTTTGTACATGCTCGGGCGATGTGGCTTTGGGGGAAAGTGGTGCAAGTGGATTCAATTTTGTATTTGCACCCTTTCATTCTCCGTTTTGGTCAACGGCAACCCAGAGGGTCATTTTCCAAGTAGTAGAGGTTTGAGGCAAGGGGATCCCTTGTCTCCGTTGCTGTTTGTAATTGTTATGGAGACAATTAGTAAGATGCTTGAGAGAGATGTGGAAGAAGGATTGTTAAGGGGCTTTACGGTTGGACACTTACAGGTTTTCCATTTGCTATTTGCAGATGATACAATGATCCTTTGCGATGCAGATAATGAGTAATTCAAGAACTTGCGTCGGCTACTTCTATGTTTTGAAGCGGTGTCGGGATTGAAGATTAATATAAGGAATCCGAGGCCATTCCAGTGAAAGAGGTTACTAACGTGGATGAGTTGGCCAATATATTGGGTTGTAGGGTTGCGTAGTTGCCCATGTTATACATTGGGCTTCCTTTAGGGGCAAAGTTTAAAAGCAAACATATCTGGAATGAAATTGTCGAAAGGGTGGAGAAGAAGTTAGCGGAGTGGAAGCTTATGTACCTTTCGAAGGAAGGTCGCCCTACTCTCATTAAATCTAGTCTGTCTAATTTCCCAACTTATTTCTTGTCACTGTTTCCTATCCCTAGTATAGTGGCAAATATACTAGAGATGATTCAAAGGGAGTTTCTTGGGGCGGAGCTCGGGGAAGAGAGGAAATTTCATTTGGTTAATTGGGGTGTGGTTTGTTCTCCTATTAGGATGGGGCGCCTTGGAGTGAGGAGCCTCATTTTATTTAATAAGATTTTATTTGGCAAGTGGTGGTGGTGATTTGGAGTGGAGAGGGAGAGTCTTTGGAGACAAATCATAGGAGCGAAGTATGATGTGATGGAGGGGGGTTGGTGCTCGATCGAGGGTTGTGAATCTTATGGTGTGAGTTTGTTGAAGTATATCCGACGAGGATGGAATGACCTTCGAGTGAAATTGACTTATGTGATGGGGAATGATAATAATATCAGATTTTTGGATGATTGTTGGTGTGGAGATCATCCGCTAAAGGCATGGTTTCCTTCATTGCATCGCATTGCTTTGGAGCCTTCCGCTATGATGAATGATGTCCTAGCCATACATAATGGAAATTATAGCTGGAATATTGCCTTTGAGAGAGGTTTTCAGGATTGGGAACTGGATGATTATGCACTGTTTTTGACCTCCTTGCACGAGGTGCATATTCAGGTGGGAGAGGGTGATAGGAGCTGATGGAAGCTGACACAGGATGATATTTTCTCAGTTCGCACTTATTTTAGATCCATATTGGGATCGACGGAGAGTTCATTTCCTTGGAAGATGGTGTAGCAATGTAATCTGTCCCCATGGGTGGCTTTTTTATTATGGACGGTTGTGAGAGGGCAGGCATTAACAGTGGATAATCTTCGTAGAAAAGGTTTTTATATTACTAAATGGTGTTATATGTGCAAGAGAGACGGAAAAACAAATGACCATTTGTTCCTCCATTGTGAAGGTGTTCGGTGGTTGTGGAACACTATTTTAGCTTCCCAATATATGGATTGGGTGATGTCTAGGCGTATGAAGGATGTGTTGCGGGTATGGAGGAGAAAATTCCGAAATATAGATAGTAGATTTGCGTGGAACATTATTCCGGGATTCATTGTATGGTGTGTATGGAGAGAAAGGAACAGCCGTTATTTCGAAGACCAAGCAAGAACAATAGAGCAAATTAGAAAATGATTTTATATAATTTTGTATACTTGGTTTAAGGCTACAACCACTGATCATGTAGAAGGGCTGTCAAACTTTATGTCGTTTCTTTTTTGTTTAAATTGATAATACACCTCCAATGTATTATTCATGATTAATAAAATTACTTGATTACTTATCAAAAAAATAAAATAAAATAAAATAAAATGAAAAACAATTATATCTTCAATAAAACATTCAAGCCAGCAGTCTGTTAAGAAATTACAGGAATCAAGTTCCTTTCATATTAAGATATTATTTTCCTTCCTGTAGCGGATTTTATTTTATCCTTTCCAATTTAGAAATGTTAATATTATACATTATGTAAACTTTTCTGTTACAGTTACTTGCCTTTTGGTGGAGGACCAAGAAAATGTATTGGAGACATGTTTGCGACATTTGAGGTAAATTATTAAAATTGACACCAGTCGGTTCCCCCCGGGGGGGGGGGGGGGGGGGGGGGGGGGGGGGGGGGGGGGGGAGGGGATATTCTGTATGGAAATTTCATGTTCTTTCGTTCTTTTGTTGAGCATATATATAAATATGCCAATCTACCCTTTTTTAGAACTTTCAAAATAATGCCAGTTTTTGACATTATTGGATGTGTAAGAGAGTTTGTACGAGTATCATTCGGAGGAGGTTTGGTATGATGGAAGACGAGTCGGGGCCGCCCTAGCCTTGGATCTGGGTGGCCAGGCCACATGCAGGGTTTCTTGCGTGCTTGGGGACTTCCGTCCCTGACACGCACCAGAACAGTTGCTTGTGCACCTGTTCATGTTTTCTTCAATTTTTAACCTCTTTTTTGTAAGATTTGGTTAGTAACTATAAATATGAAGTAATGTGATTCTTGTGGATGATTGTAACTCCTGGCATGCATTGTTTCACTCTTCTGATTTGCAGAATACTGATAGAAATTTTATGATGATCTTTAATGGATGATAATGTGTTTGGTTCTTGTGAATTATTCATGAATATTTCATATAAAAATGTCAATCCGCTCTTTACTGATCTGCAGACTGTGGTAGCAGTGGCAATGCTTGTTCGAAGATTTGATTTTCAAATGGCCCTCGGAGCACCTCCTGTGAGTGATTTGTATCAGTTGTTTTCACTACTAGGGTAGCTTGAGAAACATGTCTGCATTTGCAAGGGGCTGCAACTTCAGTATCAATTACTCTATAAATTCCAACGATGCACGGAAATTTCAAAAATACTAGCATTTAGGAAACATTTTAGAAACTTGAAAAATAAAACTTGGAAATTTTAATGAATAAAGCAAAATAAATTAAAGTTGTGAGCTTCAACTTTTTCATGAAAACATAAACAAGAAATTAGGATTATGTTGTCAATGATATTGTGAGTAATTTAGTTTGGATGGCATAATGCATCCAGTTAAAAATTTAGATTGACCAAGTGTGTTATGTTTATATTAATCAATGGTAATATCAGTTTTGAATTTAAATTTGAATTATATTATATTGTTATGATCATTAAATTATGCTGTTCTATAAAATTGTTCCACGTCCTGCTTTTTTCAGAAATTGTGTTTCCATATGTCATGTTGCGTCGTGTTTTCCCATTTTGTTATCGTGCAACCTAAAGATCGGAAGTAATTACTCTCTAATATATATACCTCAACAACTCTACAGGTAGAAATGACAACAGGAGCAACAATTCATACAACAGAAGGTTTGAAGATGACAGTTGCGCGAAGGAGACGACCTTCAATCATCACAACATTACAGACGACAACTGTGGAAGAAGATTCATCAATAATCATTCCAACGACGAATACAGTTTCTAGTCAGAAAGATGAAGTCCCGTCAGCTCGTTCCTAGTCGATCAATATGGTGTTGTCCGATTCTCAGCAACCAAGAAAGCTGTAGCTGAAAGAAACACTAGTTGTATCCTTCTACTCAACATATGTATACAGTATACACTTGTATTATAACGATAGAGATCTTCGTAATAGAAGAGTAAAATTAGTTGAATTTCACATATAAAATGTTTTAATCTTTTCTTCTGATCCATTTAAGCGTGCATTTCGATCATCATCATCTTGATTGTAGTCTGTAGTGGAAGGCAACACTTACAGGCCATTTAAACATTTTATATTCTTCTTATCTTGATTCCATTTCCTGTAAATTTTTCTAGTTGTATTAACAAATTTATTCTCGCGACTTCTAATGAATCTTTTTGCATTCTTGGGAATTCTACGTGCGAGTCAAGAGGTTTGTGAGTAAAAAAATAAGCATAAGGAATGATAGCAATACTCTATGTATCATACGATGATGCCTCTCCTCTGGCACTTGATAATTTATCTTCCTCTAGTTTTGTTGCTTATTTTGCAAAATATCTTCATCATATACAAGAAGAGACATGAAAATATAATTAGCTATATAATGGTTAGTTGCACAGTGAAATCACCTGAAAGTTTATGCTAACTTAGTTTTATGACATCGCAAACGATAACGCTATAGAGTAATTTCAATAGGGCTGGAAATGATTTGTAACATGTGATTGTTATAGGAGCTTTTTAGGAAGAAGACTTGTTAGTTTGAACGATTCCCTAAATATATACTCATTTTTTGGGAATAGGAAGGTTTGATTGTGACTGCTATTCTATTTAAGGAAATATGAAGATTAGGAAATTTTGCACAAATTAACTTTACGTTTAGAAACTGAACAAACCTTTCACTGCAGGAACTAATGGAAACCATCCAAAAGGACTATTTGCACATATAACCAATAGGTTGAGGGGATCAGCACCAAAAATCATACGTTAGGGAGCATTTGCGCACAAAGGCCATACTTTAGGGACCATTTGCGCCTACCTTATTCCTATGGTAGTTTAAGAGTTCCTTAGAGCATGAGGGTTCTATTTCATTCTACAAATATGACCACTAGATCTTCTCAAAAGTTGAATTTAATGAAATAAAAAATTGAGTATACATATCTAAATTCTTGATATTTAGTAGAATCAACGAGTTTTTGATACATAAATTTTGAACAATGATACAAGTACAATTAGAATTGACAATTTTTTTTGACAATCATGAGTTAACGAAATCTAAGCCATTCATTTCAAAAACCTTTTTTTTTAAATCAATCAAACAGATCTTGACAATACATAAATTGTCAACAAAAATTATCAACAATTAATGTATAAATAGCTTTATTCCTAAATTTTTGGCTTTTCATTAGCGAATCAATAAAGACGAAAAAATTATTTGTAATTTTCATTTTCTGATGTTTCCACACATAACTCTATATGGCATTAGTATTTAGCAAAAGATGGAGTTACTAGCCCAATTTGGGATTAAGCAACTGTCTAAAAACTAAAACAATAATCATAAAATTAAAATGGGAACATCCTCTGCATTTAAATAAAAAAAAAAGAAAAAAAGAAAAAAGGGTTGCACTTCAACCTTGAGGGCCCTCCACCCTAACCCTGGAGCGTCGTGAGAGAAGTAAATCGCGGGATATGCTCCAATAGGTCAGGGAACAAGAATTTGCCCGTACAATGATGCTCACAAAGAGTCCAATTCCTTATCTCAAGAATCGAATTCTCAAACTACAACTGCTAACAAAACTGAGACTACCTCGTTCCTGCACATTGCACCACTAATTACTACATTAGATGATGAGAGAAGAGTCTAGTCACGACACTACACAGCTCGCTTTCAAATCTCTGCATTCTGCATAGGTAAGATACCAATAGTGATTATACCCCGTACCCCACCCCACCCCATCCCACCCCACAACTTCATTATTGTTCATTCAGATACATAGATACACACAGAGTGTCTGTATATGTTCTTTCTCAGAGTCTCCATAGCCTCTGCACTAGGGTCGGGGGCTTTTTCCATCACAGCCTCTATCTCTCTCTCTCTCTCTCTCTCTAGATCATCTTCCTGAGAAAGCCTTCATTTCACCATCTTTACGTGTTTAATATATGTTCTTATACTCTTCTAACAATATACTAAATTAGGAGTGTCATTTAATTCATCAGAAAGACAAAACGGAGGTATTTTACAATATAATGATATATTATACGTAATAATCAAAAATTCTTTCTGTCTCAACACAGAGGAAAAGTCTTTGCTTTTACAAGATCCAAACTCAGCAAAAATATATTTGACTGCAGAAAACGAGGCACGCAGAGTCATACAAGAAAAGAGAATTTCAGGGTTTTTTTACCAACATTTATTCTGTCCCTCTTCATATATATTTCAGATTCTATAGTATTTTTCACACAATCACACACATCTGTATGTGCGCGCACTCTCCATAAGAAGAAATTTCAGCTCTCTAAAGCCTAGACATTTTTACAGGTAAATGAATTAACCCCTCCCCCCTCTCTATACACACACCCACACACATCAATATTGATGGAAGTGGCAAATATAATAAGAAAGAAAAAGAAGTCTCACTTTTACGAGATCCAATTCCGAACCTCGAAATCTTCTCTTCATTTTTTGGGAAAAAATGGCTATATATATATATTTATATGTAAGGTTGTTGAAAATACAAATTAGTATGTGGAAGTTTCAACTAGCTCGTCACCTCTTTTAGCATATTATTATGTACACACATATGATACCATTTCTCTGTATGACAGTTTAGGGTTGGAGCTAGTCAGTGAAGAAGAACATTGATTTCTTGCTATATTAATTTGAGCAGTGAGTGCTCTGATTTTGAAAATATGAAAATCAAATTTGTTATATGCCTTTCTAGCATGTTTGGTAAGTGGTTGTATTCAACAGTATTATAAAGAAATTAAAACCCCATCTTTTTTAGTAAACATCTAGATTAGCCTTCAAGAAGGGGAAAAAAATAATTCTTTTTTCAAAAGTATTTTCAAAAGGGAGGCACTTCAAAAAATCATTTTTCAGATTCTTTTGGCAATTTTCGACTCAGTTTCAATTAACTTGTAGATATATACACACACTTGAGAAAAATGTGCAAGAATAGAAAATAACAAAAGGCTTAATTTTCAAATTTTTTTTTCTATTTCCTCCATTCTTCTGGTAATAGATCTTCTTCTTCTTCTTTTTTTTTTTTTTTACACCCTTTTCCTCGTAGGTTCTTTTTATTATAATTTCAAGATAATATACACATTCAAATGTGCAGATCCCGATTTCTTGAAGCCCACAATTTCTTGAATATTGTTCATTTCTTTATTTATCAGTACAGTTATATATATGGCTAATTTTCTTCATCTTTCTTTGACATTTCAAGGCCATAGAAAGAAATCAGTAAAGGGAAGAAGGCTTTAGCAGCATTAATGGCGTCCTCTTCATCCAACTCTCCATGTGCAGCATGCAAATTCTTGCGTAGAAAGTGCCAGCCGGAGTGCGTATTTGCGCCATACTTTCCACCGGACCAGCCGCAGAAGTTTGCAAATGTGCATAAAGTATTTGGTGCAAGCAATGTCGCAAAACTTCTCAATGAATTGCAGCCTCAACAGCGCGAGGATGCTGTCAATTCCCTTGCTTATGAGGCCGAAATGCGCCTCAGGGATCCGGTATGGTCGAATCCCTTCATTTAAAAGTTTAAACTGTCAAAAGAGGAATTTATTATATTTTCAACAAATTCTGTAAGCACAGGCTCGATTTATTTTTATCGAGTTTGAAATTTTCATAAATAAAGGGAAAGCTTGAAGTGAAAATCTATGAAGAACCATCATATCTAAAAGCTTAATTGAGGTATTAGTGAGTAATCACATAACGAACTTATTTATTTAAATATATAGTAATGAATTTTAAAATTTTTATGTATTCTAATACCACGATGAATCAACTTATTTAAAAGTTGAATAAAAAAGGGACAAATTCGGGGCACGACGAGGCTTGAAGGGAGACTTTCTCTGATTCCGCTCCTAACTACATTCTCATCTAAAAATTTAAATTGTACAAGTTTCTTTATTTAATTTACGTCTTCAATAGGTATACGGTTGTGTCGGAGTCATTTCCCTCCTCCAACACCAGCTCCGTCAGCTCCAGACGGACCTCAGATATGCCAAATCCGAGCTCTCCAAATATCAGAATCTGGGCATGACCGGCCACGGGCTCATAGCCGCTGCCACGCACCATCACTCGGGGATAAATCTAATTGGCAGCGGCGCTTCCTCCCGGGACCACCACTTCCACCACCGGTTCTTCCCCGGCAATCCGCAGCAGATTATCAGGGCATTTGATGGGAACAATAGTTATGATGCAAGCAGCATTCTATTCAGTCAGTTTCCTACAGGTGATGGAAAGTGAAAATTTGTGGTTCCCTCGAATTAGGGTTTATTCACCAAACTACATTAGTAAAACTACCACAAAAAAAGGGGGACTTGCAATATGTTTGTTATTTGTAATTCTTGTTTATGAGGTTTACAAACGTTGTTACAAATATTGTGAAAGTATTAACAAATTATTATATTTGTTTCTTAATTTTTAATAATGAGCATATTTGTTTGTAACTTTTTATTATAGTAGCACAATAACTTTTCAATAATGGAAATCATTCAAATCTCAAATTAATCGACAAGTGTAATTTATTATTGGTGCTCAAAATTATGAAGTACGAGGATCATGTAACGTGTTTTAAGTACAATATTTCAATTTATGTCAAGAGTAATGCTATTTATAGTCGCTCACTGCGGCAGTTGTTCTACGTGACATACACATGACAGGTAATTATTTGATACATTAATGTGGTATTTTTTTATTTATTAATGCATCAAATAACCATTTGCCATGTGTATGTCACGTAGGACGACTGCTGTAGTGAGCGACTGCAAATAGCATTATTCTTATGTTAATTGCATCATCATAATTTAATTTTTTCCCTTAATTTGGATCAATTCGTTGTGTCACGCAGACATTTATACGTAGATTTTAACTACAAACGGCCTTCCTACTAATGTGGCCGGAAAAATAGGAAAATATAATGCATAATGATCTCGAATGAAATCAATAAAACTCTTATATCTTATTAAACTAAAGTCCTTTTTCAGTGCAGTTTGAAATATAAGTTTAAGGTTTCGTTTCTCGAATTTACGAATGATTTATAAAGATAAATAATAGTATATTATAATTATGAATTTGTGGTTAAAATTAATATTTAATTTCAACTGAATTATGACATTGAGATCTAACTCGTCCACCACGCAGATTCGGCTACAATCAAGGATTCAAATTATTGTACATCCATATGACTAAATTTGTAACCTAGCTCAGATATTACGCATGGTCTTGTGGAGTATACAATTTCCCAAGATGAAAACCTAAATATGATTTTCTTCATCTTTTGTATTTATTTGCTGGAATAGTTAGTCAAAATTATTGAAGATTAAATTGGCAATAATGACGTATGTGTGTCATGATTGCCTCTACTTTAATTCAATGTCAGATACTGCTGCTGACGCCTTCAAGAGTTGGCATGCATGCAAGCGTTTGTTTGTATGTATGTGTATGTATAAATATTGACACTAAATCCAAAAACAGTATTGAAAATCTCTAATTAATCTATAAAAATATGGTTACTACCCTTAATAAGAATAATCTTTTAAAGTGTATCTTCAACTTTTAATATAGCTACTCTTGTTAGGGATAAATTTCAAATCAATATATAAAGATTTGTATTACTCATTTTAATAAAATTGACCATTTGAGATGGAACGTCAATCTTACCTCAAACGAGCCATGCCATCTTTTGTGGTATGTTAGGGATGAATGAATCCTATAATGTTGATTAACATGAAACCTCAAGTTTTAATCATAAAAGCTAAAAGTTTAATTTTCTTTTTAACCCATTAAAGAAGTCAACTTGCCTTGTTCCAGACGGGGGTAGTACAATAAAAGCTAAAAAATTAAACTTTGTTAGCGCTAGTTTTATGCTTCTCATCGAGATACTTTAAGTGAAGTTTGTATTGACCTCAATTTTCGAAAGTGTAACGTGGTCAACGAGTAACTGCTCCATATAGTTAACTTCTTGCACACCGTAGCAAATTTTTAGATACTTGTGGCCTTTTCTATTGGTGATCTAGGCTGCTGCGAGCACTTTGACGGTCAAGTTAGTTAATGTTGAAGAAGAAAGAAAACGACACACTTGATTCAAGATAATGAGGCAAAGTGTGTGTTTTAGTGTATAGGATTTCATTTCCCTTGAAATGGTGCTAAGCGTGGATATATATAGGGGAAGAGTTGGATTTGGACCTTTGGATGGAGGAACATGTAGCCTCATTTGCGGGCCGAGGCGTCCTCTCTTAAGTATCAACCAATCAGTCCATAGGTTGGCGGGCATTTAATGCTCCCTAATGAGTGTATTTATAACTTGATTTTTTGGCTATATTGCACAGACATCACATCAATCAATAGTGTGGATCTTATTTTGGCCAGATCTTTATACAAAAGATCCCTTATTTAATATGGACGAGATGACGTGATAGTATTCTAGCAGTGCCGTTCCACCTCTTTTCGATTCGGAGTGATGTGAACTGTTTAAGTTGTTCATTTTCTTAGCTGACAACCACGTAGATGACGATCTGGAGCCTCTTCATAAGAAGCGTAACCGTTTGCATTCAACTCATGGTCATTTTTGGACTCATTACTTACTTGAAGGAGATCATATAAATTTGTTATTGTAATCCATGTTTGAGAAATTTGTATCCATGAACGTATTCAAATTTATCCCCTAAAGTGCTCGAATTATCTAATCCCAAATTTCTCAAATCATTTTCAGTTAATTGGTGAAATAGAGTTTTGTGCACGATCAATCTAAGACCAAGCCGAAGATCAATTGACCCAATAATGCTACGAAATCAACTTTCGCATGCAGCTCAAAAGAACCATGAACTGAAACCTCTTTATCCTATAATAGCTAAAAGGTTGAGAATCTATTTACTTTCATTTAAAAGGTGGAGAACTAACTTACTTGCTGGACAATCTTGGATAATTAATTACAGAATAAAAATAAAATCTGAGTCATTTTAAATTTATGAGGCCGTCCATGCTTGTGAAAGTTTATAATTCCTTATAACTAGTAGATCTACTATTAAAAAACAGGTAAAAGTTATGAATAATAATAATAGAGTTTGGTCCTCGTTTGGTAGCAATTTTTCATCCCAAATAATTGATTTTTTTTACCATTATTTCACTATTTCAATCGTCATTTTTTACTTCTTCACTAATAGATGAGATCCACTTTTCTCTCTAACGATCAAAAAATCAATTTTCATAATCACTACCGAACAAGTCCATGTTGAACTTATGCGTAAATTAAATGTTTTACTACTTGGACAGGGGCTGAGGTGTTAGATCCGAGATTTCAAAAGGGCTAAGGTGTCAGCTCTTGATTTCAGAAGCCCTGTCCGTGTTGGCAAGTTTAGTAATTTAAATATAAGCTTTGACTATTAGGGTGTCCTTGGACAGCAAAAGTCACATTACATGTTCACATTGATGTTACTATTTATGTGTGTAGGGTTGGAAGAAGAACGTCCAAGAAAAGGTCAGAAATCATGTGAAAGGATAGGTATAATATACATTAATATTGAAGGGGTTTAAAGGGATAATTTTTGTGTAGTGAAAGGGAGTGTTTTAAAAGTAGTAAGATATCCCGACAAAGAAGCACGCATTTCGAAAACAAAAAAATGTAGCATTTATTTCGGGTTGTCCCTTCTGCCCGATCCTGCTGGACTCGGGCTGTCCTCTCTCTCTCTCTGAACATATACATACATGCAAATAAAGATAGATAAACGATTTGCCCTGTACCCAAATGCGCCACCCGCCTTCTGACATCTGAAATGACTGATCCTTTTATCCTCTCCTCCTTCTAGGAGTGACGGAACCTCTGTTACTACCTTTGTTGCTTTCTTCCTTAATTACTACAACATGCCTTTTGTCCCCCTCTCTTTCAAACTCTAGCCGGTAAGCTCCTTTGTAACCATTCTTTCAAAACCATTTTTTTTTTTTTTTGGTTATATGTTGGTTTTCGTTTTGTTGTACAGAACAAATTTTCCATAAATGACTTGCTAAATCAGATGAACAATTGCAAAACAGTAAAAAAACATAATATCATTTCCAGAAAATGAATTGCACAGAATAAAAACAGAAGCATAAAGTAGTCTAGAATTCGGAATAAGGATGATCGAGGCGAGAACTAGGCTCTCTGTCCTTAAGACGTTTTTACCCCATCACACGGTGCTTACGGTATGTGGTAAAGCGTCTCCCAAGATACAACGATCAGATACTTGCAGAAGCAGCACTTCGACTGCAAGGCAACGAACCAGAACGGAAGTACTCTCTGTAGACTATTGCAGAGAAGAAGAGTATGTATGCAAAATGATTTCGTGATGTTTCTGTGTGTTATTAAAATTGAAAGCCTGAGAACCATTCAAATGGAGGAGAGAGTTGACAGTTGAGCAGTTTTCATCCACCACTCACGCCCACTTAACGCACAGTTTTAGCAAACTGATGGGTCGGTTAATAAACTATCAAATGGAGGGAATTAATTGAATTTAAAAAAAATTAAATTAATGTTAACACAGACCCACACCCACGCCCCGACCTGACCCGCCCGGTCGGTCGGACGGACGGCAGCGGCGGCACGCGCTTGTGGCCTTTGGATTAGTCTAGACATTGTCTAAGACTCCCCCCTGTCAAAGACTATTGGTACCTCTTGTGGCCCAAACACATATCTAAACTTGAAGTTTATTAAGTGGTTCAAGGTTGTGTTTGCAACCTATGTGGGATTGGAACATTTTTTTCAATTCTTTCCCATTTATTCCTCTTATTTATTGTCCAACTTTCAACCATAATTTCTCATTCATAATGAAGTGATTTTTCATAATTAAATATTCTACACTCATTTGCTCGGAACGTAGAATTTAATTGAACATTAATTTCGATACATCGAACATCGGGTCCCACTTAAAATTGTGGTTAAAATTTGACCCAATTGACCCACCACTTCCAACAATCCCCCACATGAATGGAAAATTATCATGACTATGCAATGCAGACACGAACAGAGAGTACAGGGCAAAAGACTTATTACATCAGGAGAGGTAACTTTTGGCTTTGAACCTGCCTTAGTGGAATACCATCGAGTTTACTTGGCTAATCAGTGAGCTGATGTCTTGAACTGTTCAGCCGTTGGTGTAAACGAGGGCAGTATCCACACAATAACCTTTCTATTCAATTCTTAGGTTCTCATAGTTTTGTTCATTTTGACCCTGAACAATTCTTGGGATTCATAAGTGCTTTAAAGAATTTTAAGCCCCAAATTCTCATAGGAGCGGCCCCACTTCACACTTATATAGGCGAACTCATATTAAGAGTATTCTGCTATACCCCACTTGGTTTATCCAAGCTATAGGAATCATTAAAAGTTACAACTTAGCCTTTTACTTTCTGCAGACAACACTTTTTATA